TCGGCGGGTTTTTATGCTAGCGAGATTCAATCTTTTCCCCTCAGCTGTTGTTTTAGGCAGATATAGGGGTATCCTATAGGGACAGAACCTGCAATTGTCTCTATAGTGAACCTGATTCAGTTGCTCATATCCTTCTACGTTGTCCTCAATATTCTACTATGCGTAGCTATCTGATTAGTCTTCACTTATCTACCACAAGGAACCCGACTGACAATGATCTTAAAATTTTATTGTCTGATAAGTCCCTGGCAATTACTTTGTCTGTCGCCGAATTCTTAGCCTATGTTTGGAAGCTTAGGGTAGGGGCGTACAAGCCTTAACCCCCTTGTATTTTTTAGAATTGCTATATTCTCAACTGAGTCTATTATTTCCGAGAGGTTTATAAAAACGATTCCTTGTTGGTGCAGCATGGTGTAAATTGTTATAATCCATTACTTCGTGCTATTTATTTTCTATTTGTTTCATTGTTCTCTTTGCTGCTGTGTTATGCCAATAAAGGTCTATGTATGTGTATAAAGCAGCTTATCATAATTTCTGGAAATGCCACTGTCAAGGACACTTCACTGAAAGTAAAGTCCTTAAATAGTATAAGCTCATTTTAATCTTTTTGTATTTATTTATTAAATTTCTACCCCGCCCTCCCGCTGAAGCAGCTTTCACAATTTAAAATTGTTAAAGAAGAAGCTCACACAATACTTTAATTTCTCAGGAATCTCAAATATACAGATAAATAGTATATTCTTCTAGTAGCTTAAGTATTTCAGTTATAAAACAAAGTGTTAGCTGCAGCTTATGTCATATCAACAAAATGTTCAGAAATTCATTTTCCCCGGAACTGAAGGACATGATTTTGATGAATGGGTACTTCCTCTAATCCTAGAGAGGCAGGAAGTTGATTGCAGACTTCTGTCTCTGCCTTACAGGAATTGCCCGCCAAGTTTTTTCAGTTTGGAGACTTCCATAGCCATAAAAGCAGTCTGTCAAAAAACCTACTTATGTCTATTCAGAAAGGTTAAACATGTAGAACAGAAGCACAGAGAGGCAGCAGGCCTCAAAAGTAATGTAACAAACTGATACTGTAAGTAGGAAGAATACATATACCAAAGAAAGGTAAGGATAGGTGCCTTGATCCAACTCCCAGGTGTTCCTCTTCCCCTCAAGCAGAGTGTGATAAAATGATGCCCTCCGAGTTCCAGGTAGAAGGAACTTTCACAGTAAGTTCCAATGCTCTATTCCCATAGAACATGAGAGCAAGCTAGGATGTACTGTTAAATGATGGTAACATAGTTTATGTTCCATAATTTCTTACAGGGCAAACTGAAGAATCTTCAAGTGGTAACGAGTGTGTTGAAGAGAGGCAGAAAGTAGAATTTGAGAAAAGCTGGACTTGGACTAATACAACCCCATTCAATAAAAAACCAACCGTAGGAACGGATCAATTACCACTTCTAAACATAGACAGGAAAAATGACACAAATCTGCCTTCTCATCTTATAGCTGCTAATCAAGGAACAGAGTCAAGTGAAAACAAGATCCACACAAGTAGTAGCAAAGATACTTCAGGAAAAGAAAATAGTGATAAATGTGCCCGCCTCACAAACTGCAATTCATTCCAAGAAGGAAGTTCTGAGGCGTCTGAGTTGGCAATGCAGGCATTGAAAAGGGGAAACAGGCAAGTACCTTTGGGATTAGTTGCACAGCATTCTTTGGAAAGTTGCACTCAAATGGCTGAACTTGGGCATCTGTCAAAGAAAACATCAAAGCCTAATGTAGATGAGCCTTCTAACCCTGTAGTATTGGAGAAAAGTTTAGATTTGAGACAACCTCTTCTAGATAATGACAAGCAGATGAAGTTAGGACATGCAAGTCATAACAAAAACCAAGGTTTTGCCAGCTTCAAAACTGTATCTAATAAACAGATAGCTTTCTCTGAAGACAACATCAGAAAAGGCAAACTGCTATTTAAAGACATAGAAGAAGAATTTCTTAAAAGCTTTCCCTGTGAACAAATGCAGTATATTCCAAATCAAAATGTACAAGAAAATGCTGAAATACCTGCAGTCAGAATGAATAAATTAAACAAAAGCATACCCAACTTTTGTCATGTTTCTGATTCACAAGTGAGCCTTATTGAATTCAGTGATTCCAAAAACATGTTTCCTGAGTTTTTCCTAAATGCATCTGTTCAGAATGTGCTTAAAAATCAACAAGGAAAACAAATTTTAACAGCAAGTGAAGAAGCAGAGGTTGCTGAGCTTTCTAGTATACTGGAAGAAACAGGTAGTCAGTTTGAATTTACACAGCTTAGAAAGCAAAGGGCTGTGCTGCAGAACAGTACTTGTAAAGTATCTGGAAGCACAAATAAACATGAAGCATGGAAAGATAATTTTAAGGAAGGCTGCAAATCAAAATCCCAGAGAGACAATGATCAATCTCCCCATAAGTACAGAGACAGAGACACCACTGAAGAATCTGCGATACAGAAACATACCAATGAAGAGCTTACATCAGTTAATTTGTCAAGCAGAAAGCAAAACAGGGAATGCTCTGTTCCAAATGCTTTAGCATCTCTGCATTGTGGCTTGTCTGATTTGGCAGAATGTAGGTCAGCTGGGAGAAAAGAAAGTGCTATTTCTAGTGAGATCTTTAACAAACCTTCAGACTTAGTCAGTGATCTAGATGGAGTGGGTAAAATGCATAGCCTTCATAGAACAAAGTTAAAAAATAATTGTTCAAACAGATGTGATCCTTGCTGGAATAATCCTAGATATATGAAAGAAACGGGCATTGATTGGCATCATATGGTCAAAACAGTAAATGCTGAATACATGATGAAAAATAATGCGAGAGACACTGCTAACTTTGTCAAAGAAAATATGGAAAAGAAGTCAAATAGAACAGGTTATAATGAAGACAATATTATTCATATTTCTAGTACAACAGAAGTTAATCTAAAAATTGTTCAGAAGTATTCTATTCGCATGACAGGAAATGACCTGTCAACCATGGAAAACAATCACAGCATATTAGTCTCACGTCAATTTATAAACTGTGAAGAGACTCACTGTAATGATTTGCAAGAAACTCTGTCTGACCTCACATGTTTAGTTGAAGTAGCTAAAACTGAACAGAATTCCATTTTGAATAATGTAGATGAAAAAGAAAACCTAAATTCGAATCAAAATTCTGATCAACAAGAGAAGAAAGTACATAGTCCAGAGGGTGGTTATTTAGTACCCACCATGGCTAATCAGAACATTCTTGTCCCCCAGGCAAGAAAGAATAAAGCATTTCATGTGTTGGCTGACTGCTGTGTAGGAAAAGAACTAGATGATATGTCATCAACTTCCTGTGGTAAGACAGATGTTGGAAACAAGAAGGGGCCCATCACTTCTGTCAAAAAGAGTATTGATTTAAATCAAGGTGAAAGCTTAAAGCACAATAGTGCAATGGGATTTTGCACAGCTAGTGGTAAGCAAATTGCAATCAGTGACAAATCTTTAGCTAAGGCAAGGTATATTCTTTCAGAAGACAGTACTTTCTCAGAAAAAGATGGTCTTAGTAATTTTGTCAGCCCTGGCATTCAACACTCAATAAAAGAAAATGAGAATGAGAACATTGCCAAAGTAAGAAAGGAATTTGAAGACAGAATTGAAAAGTATAATGAAGTTCTAAATCTTACAATTGGCTCTGATGATCCTCTAGATCTGCTGCCTGATAATGTTACCATTAAGCAGACAGAGACTCTTGAAACAGTTACAAAACCTTCTCTAGAGATTAATACATCTGAAAGAAGAAAAAAATATGACATAACAGAAGGCTTGGTGACAGAGAATAATCCAGCACAGAAACCAAACAAAAGTGATGCTTCAAAAAGTTTATCTATGTATTCTGATAATGACCAGTGTTTACATGTTGAAGAAGGGTCTGGTATTTATGCAAAACAAGACAGTCAGCAGCCATTATCTAGAAATCCAAGTGATGTATTCATTAATAACAACAAGAATTGGGATTTAACTTCTTCCAAAACTAGTTCCTCTATTTTAAAGAGTGAGTGTTCTGCATTACACCATTCATTCAATAATAATGAGACAAATTCCAATGCAGAAAATTTCATTTATATGTCCCAAACAACATCACCAGAAATGTTTAATGCAGAAAAATTTAGCACCTTTGAAGACATACCAAAAAATGTTGATTTTATAGCCCAGAAATGCGATTTGAACCTACTGGACATGAACAACTTACAGAAAGATTTGTCTAGTGAAGTATCCATCTTAGCTTCCAAGCTTTCAACAACTAGGCCAGTTGCATTTAGTACAGCAAATGGTAAAGCTGTCAGAATTTCTCAGGAAGCATTAAAAAAGGCCAGGCAGTTCCTTCATACTGACTGCTATGAATCCACAAAACAGACTACAGAATTTCAGTCTGAAATTAATAAACATGGCATTTTAGAGAGCTGCTCTGATGCTTTAGGAACTTCAGAGAAAATTGCTGCAGAAAATTCAGTTGCAGCCCAATTTCCTGGAGCTGGAAAATATAGCTGGGAAGATAAACAAGCATTACAGTATATGGGAACCATGTCCTTGGATGCTGGTCCTCAGTCAGGTTGTCAAACATCATGTTTTCAAATGATTGATAAGCTCTCTGACCCCTGGGCCTCCAGCAAACGAAATCACATCAAATCAGACTTTACTAGAGATACTGGTAACTGTGAGTTTTTCAGCACAGCAAGCGGTAAACCTGTACAGTTAACTGTAGAGTCATTAAAGAAGGCAAGACAACTTTTTTCTGATATTGAAGAAAATAATTCATCAGTTCACCCGAGTCATGTGTCAAATGACAGTCATGCTGAAGTATTTTCTGTTGGAAATAAAATGACCCCTGGAAAATGCAAACCGTTAATGTCCCCAGGAGAGAGACTTCCAAACACTGAAGTAAATTCACAATTTTGTTTTGGCTTTAGCACAGCAAGTGGGAAACAAGTGCGTGTCTCTGAGAAAGCTCTCCAGAAAGTTACAGGTTTCTTCAAAGAAATTGATGATACAGGCAGCAATAATTATTTTGAGAATGAACAAAATTTACAGCAGGACCATATTTCACCCAAAGAAGCTCCTTGTGTAGAAGCCAAAGCTGATGACGAAGTCATTTCAAAATCTAAACTGCAAGAGAAGTGCAATGCACTTTATTTAACCACAAGCAATCCTAATGAAAAGTCTAAAACACTTAATGCTTCGTCTGAGTCTTATACTGAGAAGTACAAGCAGCCAGTGCAATGGGAAAAACCCTTTCCATATACAAAGCAAATGGCACCTCTGGAAAGACACCAGCCTTGCCGAAATAGGATGAAAACAACAAATGCAACAAAACTCAATACTGTTACTGAAGGAGATCTGGATTCTTGTTATCCTCTGTACTCCCAAACTCCAAAAAATGACTTTGAAACTGAAGCTTCAGAAAGTGCCAAAGCATTCATGGAAGATGATGAGCTCACTGATTCAGAAGTACAGAAAAATAAAGGAATATCAGTCTTTGTTCCTGAGAAAACTAATAATTTGCTATCAAATGCAAGAACTGGGAAAAGGCGCATAGAAGAAGAAAACAAATTTGGTAGGTGATTGTAATTTTTCTTGCACTCAGCTCTTATGTTTACTTGGCAGCACTGCCACTGATTTTGGTTTAATTTATTACAAAGGAGGGAAGAATTAATGTTCTCAGAAAATTTGTAGTCACAGGCCTCATACACCAGTGGGAATGCAGGACTGGGATTTGGGCTGGTGGTGAGCAGATCTTGCACCAGAGAATCCATGAAAGAAAGAGTTGCTTATCTCTTCCTGTATCCAGTGATTATTTTCTTCAGGTCACCCCTCCCTATTGGTTTGGAGACAGCTGTGGGGGGAAACAACCAGAGAAAGGGGGTAGAGATGAGAATGCTTGGGGGGGGGGAATGCTAACAGCGGTCCAATTTTTTAAACTTCACGTTACTAAAACCCCTTTCACTAGGCCCAAGATCCCAGCACATGGCCCTACTATGATTGATAAAATCTGTAACAAATTGTTTATTGAAGGACATTTTGGAAATGATTCAATAGCTCTGCAAAACTCTTGTGAACTAACAGAGCCAACATTAATATAGTCAAAGACCATTCAGAAAGGAGTTTGTGTTTATTAAGTTTCAGGACTTAGTTTGTGAAACTGAAATATATCACCTCATTTAAGAAATGTTGTGAAGAACCATGGTTGACGTATATTCAGAATCAATAAAGAATAAAATCTTATGCAACCACATAGGGTACCCATGCTGCAAAAGGAGTGACAGGGTTGGCCTTTAGAATATAAAACATTTTCCAAGCTTTGGTTTCTAAATAGAACCAAAACATTGGTATAGTAAGGCTGGTGTTTACTTAAGAAAGCCCTTGTCTACATGAAAAGAAAGAAAACACCATCTTAATTCATTCCTTTCATTGATGGTATCAGGTTTTATAGTAAAATATATTAGGCTAAGTATCCTAAATTTGTTTAAAATGCATCTCAAAATAGTCTCTGGCATTTGTTTCCAGGAGAACCTCCTATTAAAAGAAAATTGTTACCTGAGTTTGATAGATCAGAAGGGCGCGACAAATCATCTTTGAAAGCTTCAAAAACTACTCCAGAGGGTAATTATATTTTTCTTCAGGGTTACATCAGTGAATAAAAAGTATGGTATTTGTTCTTTCTCTTTCCATTTTGTTACACAAATTTTTAAACATATTTTAAAACTTGCTTAAATTCCTGGTCCTCTCTCAGAATCCTGCTTTGCAAATAACATTCTCATGAGGGTTCATTCCTCATTTTATTTGTTTGTGCATACTGCTGCATTTAGGCTTACTATGGCTTGTTGCAGGTAGACATCATGTACATGAAAATTTTCCAGTGTGTTTTATAGATTAAAGCAGTAAAATAGTTATTTTAAAAACATTTTCGAAGGAAGAGGAGGCTCATAGACCTGTACACATGCAGAATAGGGAATGGGACATTTCCTGAAATTGCTTGTTCTGTGCAGCATTTAAATGTGCCGTGTCTTCCATTCCTCTGACTCTCAGCTGTGGTTTTGGGAAGTAAAAGAACTGATTTTTCTTTCTTTAGATACAATGAATGACAGAAGGAAGTTCAAATATAGTATCGAATTAAAGCCTGCAATCAGTATCCCTTTCAGGTAAGAAGAATAGGTTGTCACTTCAGTCTAGAGAATCCTTTAGTCATCTGTGTGTGCGTGCATACATTTCCCCATTTTCCTTTCCTATCACCAGTTCCTTGCATTTTATCTGCAAAAGCTTCTGAAACTCACCTGAGTTTCAAAATCACTCAAATGGCACATAGGGCTGTTGTGGCTTCTTGCACACTCAGAGCTCTTTGTGTAGTGCTCTAGATAATGGGTGGGCAGAAGGACACCCTTCCAAGTTAGAAGAAGAAGAACAGGAGGAGGAGATTGGATTTATACCCCGCCCTTCACTACCCAAAGGAGTCTCAGAGCGGCTTACAAACTCCTTTCCCTCCTCCTCCCCACAACAGTAGCTCTCCACCCTTCCTCCAGCGCTGCTATGATCACTTTTGTTAAGTTACCACAGCACCTTGTCTCCTTTCTCTTTCCTGCAAAGGAAGAGGACATTCCTGCACCTTTGCCCTGAACAGGAAGACTACAGCACCAGCACCCTTTCCCATCCACCTGTCTTCCTTTCTTTTCACATACATGCACATTCATGCTTGCTCTGGATGGGAAACAAGTGTGTTATTAACTGTTTCCCCTCCATTAAAGCTGCTATTTGCCTTTTCCGTGGAAGACATAGTGGTAACGGTATGCTTTTTCTCTGCAAGGCAAGTTACAATTTGGGATGGGGTGCTTTGCTTTGGAAGACCATTGGGGAAAGGTTTCCTTTCCTGTGCACTTCAGACTTACTCTGAAGCAGTGTAACTTTTATAAACAGAGTGGCAGGCTCCACCCACCCAACTGCTGTTTTGTGATTGGTAGCTCCCAAGGCTCCTAGAAAAAAAGATGAATTAGTTCTCAGAAACATGCCTCTGCTCTCCCCGCTCTAAATCATGAATTTAAAAGTTTTAAGAAAAAGGTAACTGTGTATCTTCCTGGCATGATTTTAGCTATTTAGCTTGTCAGCTTCATGCTTAGGATGAAGCTGGATATAATTGCAGAGGACTACTTAGATTCATTTATATTTCATTGCTTCTTGTTTTATGGATATTGTGCAATAAATTCAGCGTCTTTGGTACCAGTTTTCTAAAACAGCATTAAGTAACTGTTACATCATTTGTTTGGAAGCTATGAAGTTTATGAGTATAATTAAAAAGCAGCTTGGACAATGCAGAGGCAGGCAATGGCAAACCACTTCTGGACATCTCTTGCCTTGGAAACCCTACGGGGTCTCTAAGTCGGGAGCGACTTGATGTCAAACAACAACAAAAAAGTACAATGAAATAGGTGTACAGTAATCACATGTGTGCAATATGTAGGTTACCAGGTTAATTAACAATAACGTCAAAAGACCCATTCTATTCACTTATGCAAATCCTTATCAAAGTATTTTTATTTGTTCAGTTCTTCCAAAGAGCGGCAAGAAGTTTTGCATCCAAATCTCACCACCCCAGACCAAGATCTGAAAGGATCTAAAAGTAAATCTAATAGTTATCAGGAAGATATGTCAATGCCATCTTTTAGCAGACCATCAGCTTCTTGGACCCCTTTTAATAAGAGCTTAGCTAAGGAAAGCAAGAAGACAGAAAATGATTATATTGTTCAGAAACCTGTCAAAGTCTTTGTACCACCTTTCAAAACAAAGCCAAGTATTTCTGAGGATGAAATAGCTCACAGAAAAAAAGATGACTTACTGGGCAGCAAAAATATTGATAGAAAGGAAAAGCTAACTCCCACAAAGATTCAAGAAAGCACCATTGAACCAGAAGACAATTCCTTTGAAGACAATAGTGCCACACAAATATCTCTAGGGTATTCAGAATTCACAGATACAAATTCAGGTATGTTGGATGTATGTGTGTTGTATGTAACTGTAAAATTTGTTAAATCACTGTCTGCATTTATTGACCAATGGCTTCGCAAACATGACCTTTTTTATTCTCTCTGTGTATTCCTACATATGTAGATTTGTGCAGGCCACATTTCAGAAATTTCTAGAGGTTTGAACTGATGGCTTCCTTAACTTTGCTCTGGCTGATGATGATAACTTTGCTCTGGCTCTAACACAAAATATCCATGTGCTAGACTTCTTGAGCAAACAGAAATGCAAGATAAGACCATGGGAGCTGCTTGTGCCATGTCAGACTTATTATACCCCTACTTCCATTTCTGCTTGCACAAGATGTTGTGCAACCAGTTACTGGGTATAATAATATATAGGTGTTGTACAAGGTCTTGCACAAGTGGAACCACACTACATTTATGTTTCCAATTGTGCATCATTGGAGGTCTTGCACAACCACACTATATTTATGTTTCCAATTGTGCATCATTGGATCCAAGTTGCTGTGGGTTTACACATAAGTGTAGTCGATGCAATTTGTATAAATACTATTGCTGTGGATAACTTGCCCATTACTTTCTCAACCTGCTATATGATCCTGTCACAATTTGTAACATTTTAAGTTCATTTTGGTGAGCTGTGGGCTAAGGTAAAAGCTTAAAAAATCCTTAAGCTTTCACTTTCTTTTTTCTTCCTAAACATTTATGCTGATAAAATTTATAAATTTTATCTTTACTTATTTCTTTCTTAAAATTAAATTTTATTTCTTTCACATTTTACAGTTCTAATTCAATGGTTCATGATGATATACAGAAGGAGATGCAAATAGCAATGAAATAGCCATTGGCAAATGAAAATAGCAAATGGCAATGAAAATACTTAGATCAGAATTTAGGCTTATGCTTTTCTTGTACGAAACAAACCGTGTGTGTCTTAAGTGCTTTAGATGGATAAATTCTATGTATGTATCATAGATACATAGGCTACAAGTAAAAATACCTCTTCATGTACCTTCAGCCTCTCCATTTATTATTTATTTGTGGGGAAAGTTTTTTAAAGGTACAGATCACTCTAAAGCTATATTTCTAAATCTTAGTGTGAACCTGAAATGTTCTCATAATATCACACTCTGATAATATGTTGGTATAGAGAATATCTGAGAACTGTGTCATTATAGTCCCCAACTCCAAATTTTAAAACAGCATCATAGGTTATTATGTGGGGAATGGCCATGGATCTGTGCTATATCATCCGTTTGTATTCAGAAGATCCCAGGTTCAGTCCTTTGCATCTCCAATTTAAAAAGCATCCAGTAAAAGACCTCTTCCTGAGATTCTGTAAAGTTGCTGCCAGCCTGAGTAGAGAATTCTGTTGTTGATTATGGACCAGTGATCTAATATCAGTCAGCTTCATGTATTTGTTATTTCCTAAAATCCCACCAAGAGTTTATATTTGGTAAACCATTAGAGTTCCGAAAATTACAGTACTTGCATATCTGCATATACCTGGGATTTCCATTTTAAATTATTGCACACATCTATTTGGATTTGATCAATATTTTTCTTGACAGATTTAACAAAAATAGTAAAAGATATTCAGTGTGCCAGAAATCTACAAGAAATGAGAATTATAAAGAAAAAAAGGCAAAGAATTTGTCCACAACCAGGCAACCTGTATCTTGTGAAAACATCTGCTGGAGCACGTAGAATTCCTCTTAAAGATGCAGTGTGCAAGAAATTGCCAGGTTCTTATTTCAGTAAACAGGTAGATAATTGTTTAATCTGCTCTATATTTTTGATTAAACATTTAAGCAATTAAACACATTCATATTTATTTATTTATTTGAAATAATTATATCCTACATTTTCTTATGGCAAAACAAGTGATTACAAATCACAATTTAAAACATAAAATGGAAAAGGCATGGACTCCAGTCATTTATATTGATGTGTAGATGCTGATTATTATGTTTAACACACTAAAACATTTTACTTGTGTCTTACCCTTACAGTTATATATGTTTGGTGTTTCTAAGCAGTGCATAAAAATTAACAGCACAAATGCTGAAGATTTTCAGTTTCCCATCCAGGATTTTTTCAGTAAAGAGTATTTTCTAGAAGAAGATGGAATACAACTGGCTGATGGAGGATATCTTGTTCCCACGGATGAGGGGAAGGCAGGCAAAGAGGAATTCTACAGGTATCCTGTTCAAAGCTTGCATGATGCAGTATGTGCCGTGTTTTTAATTGTATTCAGTATTTGTTGTTATAAATCTATCAGGTTTCCATATTGATGTAAATGACTTTTTTATTATGAGATACAAAGACAATTCAATGAGACATTTTTATTCTGGGATACTTTCTGGAAAGCACTATGTTTTTACTCTGTGTTGGCATGGTGGTCCAGAATGCAGCAGTCCAACTGTTATCAGGGGCTAGCTGCAGGAAACACATGTTGCTCATTTTGAAACAGCGTTGTTGGCTGCCAATCTGTTTCTGAGTTCAATTCAAGGTGCTGGTTATAAGCTTTAAAGCCCTTCACAACCTGGGGCCCACATATTTGAAGGACTGTCTCCTCCTTATGTCCCTGCGTGCCATCTATAGTCATCAGTTAGCCATCTGTTGGCTATCCCACCACTTAGGGTGGCCCTTCTGGCACGGATCAGAACCTGGGCCTTTTCCATCGTGGCCCTGGCTCTGTGAACTAGGCTGTCTGAAGAGGGGAGGGGAGGGCCCTTCCTTGGAGATTTTTGGGAGGCCCTGCAAGGCTTGCCTGTTTGTCAGGGCTTTTGAGGGAGTTTGAACTGCAGGCATCTTTTAAGGGGGAAGGATTTGAGGCTTGCTGTTTCGTTTTTGGTTTCAACTGAAAATGTTTGTAAGCTGTCGAACCACAAGGAAAGGCAGGGTATGAATGTTTTAATAAATAAAATAAATCCTCTCTGGAGAACTGTGTTACTAATAGCATCAGGATACTGAAAATATTTAGGAATCAAACTGGATAGACAGATGTGTTAAGCTGTGCACATTTAGGTTTTTTTCCCTTTAGTATAATTTTTCCCCATATTTTTATTTTAGAAAAATGTAAATTACAGAAATCTCACTAATTTACAAGCTACATATAATCAAATATTTGAGTATAGCCACTGATCACAATATTACACTTAGCGTCAGCTAATGGGTTAACTCATTACGGGCCACCAGTGTACTTCAGACGTATTTCATATCATATTTAGAGCCATACATATTTAGAATTTTTTCCCTTTAGGACAGTTTAACTGGAGACAGTTTTCAAAGCCTTCTCTACTTCACATGAAAAGGCATTTCAAAAGCACTATTTTAGTTTGTTGATACTTTGTAAACAGCCATTTTGTTTCTGACACAGCCAGCATTTAGTGTATTGTAGCCACAAATATTATTTATTGTTAAAAGAGTTTTATTCCATAATAACTTCATATTCTAATAATTTTAACAGGGCTTTATGTGATACACCTGGAGTAGATCCAAAGCTCATTTCAAAAGCCTGGGTCTACAACCACTACAGATGGATCGTATGGAAATTGGCATCTATGGAAGTTGCATTTCCACAAGAATTTGCCAATAAATGCTTGACTCCAGAAAGAGTCCTATTTCAGCTAAAATACAGGTATAAAACAGATTCGAAATGTGAATTCCTGTATCACTGGCTGTGGTGCAAGCATGTATTACTTTTACAGTGCAGTCCTAAGAAGAGTTACACCTTTCTAAGCCCACTGACTTCAGTGGACTTGGAAGGGATAGCATTATTAATCTGAGAATTTTAATTTGGTGAACGATCTTCTGTAACTGCGTTCATCCCTACTTTTGCAGAGAAATGTAGTTTTGCAGTGTGAAATTGGCTGCTATTATTCTGAAAGGAAATCTTTTCAGTATTTGTGTTTTTGTATAAAATTTGAAGCTGTTATATATTTTTCATTTTGATAGGTATGATGTGGAAGTTGACAAAAGTCATCGATCAGCCATCAAAAGGATAACAGAGAGAGATGATGTTGCTGGTAAAACACTCATACTCTGCATTTCTAAAATTATATCATTAAGTGCAGATGTCTCACAGATCTGTGACAAAGGCACTGCAGTGGAAAACAAACGAGAAGCGGCTGTGATTGAAATTACAGATGGCTGGTATGGGATCAGAGCTGCCTTGGACTCTGCTCTGCAATCACTGTTGCGTAGAGAGAGGCTGTGTGTGGGTCAGAAGATCATTGTACATGGAGCAGAACTTGTAGGTTCACAGGACGCATGCCCTCCCTTGGAAGCACCAGAATCTCTTATGTTAAAGGTAAGATTATAAAACAACTGTGAACTGAGTGAGTCTGTTTCAAGCTAGTACCAATTCTGTCTTATATTGTTTTAGGAACAGATGGTGACATGGTAAATAACTGCACTCTCTGTTTGCTTCCATTTCCTATTCAACCCTTTATGTACTTGTATTTCAAATTATAGACCTATGGATAGGGCTCTGTCTTTTTTGTTCAATGTGGCATGTCATGGGTTGGATCCAATGATTCCCCTTCTGTCTCTCCCATGGGCGGAGCTGCACCAGTGGACAAGAGGGTGATTTCACCCTTACCCATTTGCATCCCTCACTGTAGCCAACTGGCCTATGTGATTATTGCTGTGTACAGATTCTGTGACCCTTGGGTTGGAAGGGGCCACTGGAAGAAGGGGCACATGGGAAAAATCCATGATCCTGGTGCATGCAGATCACTGGATCAAACCCCATGTACTATATTTTTATGTCATTAACTACTTTATCAACAATCCTTTGATAAGTTTCCTCAGAGCATGAAAATTGCTTGCAAACCAGCACTGCAAGCCCTGAAAAATACTAACTTTTGGTCCAGGAATTTGTGGAACATGCTTCCAACTAATACGTATAAGGCTCTAAATTGACTTTTCTATAGAAGCTGTGTTTGCAGCTGCTTACTAACGTCGTTGTCTAGATTTCAGCTAACAGCACTCGACGTGCACGATGGTATGCCAAATTAGGATATCACAGGGATCCCCGGCCTTTCTGCTTGCCTTTGGCATCACTCCATAGTGATGGTGGGACTGTTGGTTGTGTTGATATCCTTATTCAAAGAGTTTACCCCACACAGGTTAGTACAGTACAATAATGTCCAATCTTTTCCATGTAGAGCAAACTAAAATAAAGCAGCTGATTTAATTTTCAATGAACATTTATTCCAGTGGATGGAAAAGTTATCAACAGGCTCCTATGTATTTCGTAATGAACGAGCTGAAGAAAGAGAAGCTGCAAAGCATAAAGAAAATCAACAGAAAGCCATGCAAGCATTACTTGCAAAAATACAAGCTAAATTTGAAATGAAAGAGGGTAAAACATCAATATTTACTCTTCTATGTTGATTTTTAGAATGCTGAATTGTACACTTCTTGTGTAATTTTATTCCTGTACCCTTAATATGCCTAATATGGTGACACTTAATGCCTTTTTATGTGCCGTTAATTTGGCATACGGTTAGGTATGCAGGCACCAGGATGTGGGAGAACAATTTCTAAATTTTACTACTAGGGTAGCTTCTGCCTTTAATACTTCTACAGGTGAGATTTATCCTGGACAGTAGGCTCATAATGCTGCTGATTTGATCCAGCCTTGATCAGTGTGTGCACTGTAATTGAGTGATCTAGAAAATAATGCAGTAGATGGTAAATAGCAATCTGTGCATGGATGTCCTGCGCAGGATAAAATATATGAGGCAGAGTCCAAGAAAGACTATAACTTTGTAGTTAGTAGGCAGATTTAATCCATGGAAATTCATCACCTATGTTCCTCCACCATATATCATCTGTTCACACATTAGCCAAGTTTTCTTGTATGGAACTCTGCAGTATATTGTTGCATCTTGCCTGCTGCCAGACACATATGTTACCATTTGTGATCTGTTAGTATACCATGTGGTGCTTGCTTGCCACTGAAGACTGACATTTTTGGTTGGTGCAGAATGTGGCAGTCTGCCTCTTTATAGATGCATTGCAAAAAGTACATAGTTACAAGTGTTTAAACACAAGGCAGAAAAGGGAATGAACACAAAAGAGGTTAAGGCTAGCTAGTGGGAGAGCTACTGGTGGGGTAGAGAGGATTGAAAATAAGTGTCCATAGGTGACCACTTTCTAAGGGAGAGATGAGCCCCTGACATTGCCTGATAAGAAGAACTGATCTGATTTTATTTTAATGGAATGTTTAAAGTTCTTATAATTGTTCCTTGGCCTGGGCTATTAATTAATATATTTCAACAAATCAGATGAAGGCAAAAGATCACTGAGATCTCGCATGCTAACCAGACAACAGATTCGTTCCCTGCAAGATGGTGCAGAGCTTTATGAGGCAATTCTTAATGCTCCTGATCCATCTTACCTGGAGGTAAGATTACATTTCGAATATTAGAACAATTTCTGCTCTTCAATGAGTCACTGAGTTTTTAAATGGTGAATTTCTTCTGGAGACGATGCCTTCATGGGTCCAACTAAGCTAATTATGTACAGCAAGTCACGGGATTGGGGATGGGAAAAAGATGATGATGAAGAAGAAGAGATTGGATTTACACCCCGCCTTTCACTACCTGAAGGTGTCTCAGAGTGGCTTACAAACTCCTTTCCCTTCCCCTCCCCACAACAGACACCCTGTGAGGTAGGTGGGGCTGAGAGAGCTCTGACAGAAATTGCTCTTTTTCAAGAACAGCTCTTATCAGAACTACGGCTTGCCCAAGGTCATCCAGCTAGGTGCAAGTGGAGGAGTGGGGGAATCAAACAAGGTTCTCCCAGATTAGAGTCTGCGCACTTAACCACTACACCAAACTGGTGTATAAAGGTGTCTATAAAGGTTATCTGCCCTCTGTAGTTTTGGATGTAAGTGTGTCAGAAGGAATGTATGAACTCAAGAGTAAGAGTAAGAGGACTGAGGATACGAAGTTATACAGAACCTTAAATAGACTTAAGATACAGGGTTGGATCCTAAGGAGAACAAATCCATAACTCCAGTGTTAGAAGGCTCCAGTTCTGTGTTCTACTGCTGTCATGAACAGATCTTTAGGATCCAGTCTGTAGGAGATGATATTGCACTTGCCCAGTTTTGCTGGAGGTTCACAGAATTCATCAGGCAAAGGAAGATAAGAATTGACAAAGGAAGAAAGTTGGAGGCAGTGAAGCCTACAAGAAGGCTTTGTAGGGCTTGGGTGGAGGGGGGAACGAGAATAATGTTTTGGACATTTTACTTCAATCAAAAAAGGAGAAAATCAAGAATCATTTGAGCTTTTTTAATTATTACTGATTGCTCATAGCAGTCCTGTGGTTGTTCCAGAAACTGTTTACACTTCAGAGCAAATGATTTTCAAAAAAACAAAACACATTTGATTTTCAAAAAACAGTGTGTCTATTAAGAATTATGCTATTTTCTCCATTTATTAGTAAAGGCGTGAGAAGTTAATCCAGTGTTATGTTTCTGATTGCAGGGCTATTTCAGTGAGGAGCAATTAAAAGCCTTGAACAGACACAGGCAGATGGTAAATGATAAAAAGCAAGCACAGATAGAAGCAGAATTCAGAAAAGCAGTGGAATCTACTAACCAGGAGGAGCATAGTTGCTGCAGAAGGGATGTAACTACTGTGATGAAACTACGTATTGTGGATTATGGGAAAGAAGAAAGAGGCAAAGGTTAGTAAAGATTAGAGCCTGAGTTACCTCTCTATCTTAAGTTCAACTGTGTGTCTTCCATAGAACTGACAGTCCAATGGAACCATATTGTTGTTGCAGAATTAATAGATTTCATTTTATTTTTAGAAGTTCTATTGAACATCTGGCGTCCATCATCACATGTTCATGCCCTCCTCAAGGAAGGATGTCGGTACAGAATCTTCCAGCTAGTCGCATCCCAATCCAAAGGCAAGTTGGAGACAGCTAATGTACAGCTAACGGCTACCAAGAAAACTCAGTATCTACAGCTACCGGTAAATTCCTTGATCCTAACTTTTGACTTGCAAATGTGAATTGACATAAAGCTTTAAGTATCTGCAATAATGTTCATTCTACATCTTTAGGTCTCTCAGGAGATTCTAGAACATATTTACAAGCCGAGGGAGTGTCTGAGTTTCAGCAAGATATTGGAGCGCTCTTTCCAACCATCCTGCTCTGAAGTGGATTTGGTGGGATATTTAGTTTCTCTCAGGAAAGGAACAGGTATCCTGTAGTTACCATATTTACATTCTTGGAACAGAATCTTTATTGGGGTGGATAATTTTAATCATCCCATGGGGATGAGAGGCTGGAAGTTCTTATTCCTGGTATGTAAGGGCAAGTTTGGAGTCAAGTTTTTATTCCTGTTAAAAGAGACTTCATAGTGGTTCAGGAGATCCTATGGGGAATTGCTTAATAATAATTTTCTGGTGATTTAAATATTTAAGACAACTATATAAGTAATCTTGATTTAAATGTGCCTTAAAGGTTAGGTCTTTGATAATGAAAGGACACACACCACTCTTTAATTTTGTCTCATAAGAACAAGTAACAATATTTTGTAGATACAAATAGAGCCATACTGATTGTTTAATGTTTTGTTAAAGTATATTTTTAAAATATTGCCCTTTATACTTCATTGGAGATGCTAGGAGTCTCTCAGATTGTTTCTGTGACACCAGAATATTCGGAAATTTTGACCAACCACAATCCATAAATTTTGACACATGCCGCCTACAAATGTCAAAAGTACTCAGTTTTCTTGCCATTTGAAAATGTTTGCAGTAAAGGATCAGTGCTGGCGGCAACACAGTACAGAATACTTATTCTGTGTGTCTGCTCCACATTTCAGTTATAGTAATGTGTATTGCATTTATTCTAGCCTAGTTTTTCCAGCAAGTCCATGCCACCAACAGTACGCTACATGTCTCACTTTTCCAACAAGCATTGTTACTACTAATGGTGACAGTCAACATAGCTGCACGGTATTGGGGTGGATCCAACCATCTACCACGGAGACTTCCTCCATCTTAGGTAAAAGAGCCTTTTAAGTTGAATGGAGGAAAGCCTCAAATCTTGCTCCAGTGTAGTGGTAGGATCCACCCTGTTATTTTGTTACTTTAGCATGATGCATTACAAAACGCTATCTCCTGTTACTCAGGAGCAGTTTTTTGGACTTGGAGGAAGGCAAAGGGCAGAATCACACTTCAAATGGATGTCCACTAACAGATCTTAGGATTCAATCCACATTACTTGCTTTTATGAATCACAATACAAATATTAAAAGGTTCTGCACCCTGACCTGAATAGCCCAGGGTAGCCTGATCTCATCAAGAGCTCAGAAGTCAAGCAGAGTGGCCCCGGCCAGTATTTGGATGGGAGATCACCAAGGAATACCAGAGTCACTCTGCAGAGGCAGGCAATGGCAAACTACCTCTGAATGTTCCCTGCCTTGAAAACTTTATGGGGTTGCTATAAATTGGCTGTGACTTGGCAAAAAAGGAGAAAGATCTGATATGATATACAGAATTAATGTAAGTAAATTAATTTGTTTTAAAAAACATGAACACAACAGATATAACATGAAATGTCTTAATTGTATCTTATTTTAAATTGGTAAAATGGTTAACGTGGAAACACTGAAATGTAAAAATTTAATTTTAATCATTTTTTTCATTTTGGTTCTAGGTTCATCTGTGTTGTATTTGTCAGATGAAAGTCATAATCTGATAGCAATCCAAATCTGTACAGATTTTAAGCAGTTTGCTGCTGAAGACATTATTGTTCCTTCTAAGTTGATTTCTGCAAGCAATCTTAAGTGGCAACCTAAATGCAGATCAGACATTCCAACTTTATTTGCTGGAGACCTTACTGCATTCTCCTCAAATCCAAAGGAAAGACATCTTCAAGGGAAATTTAATGAACTGAAAAATATTGTAGAGGTAAGCATCATTAATTTCTAGTGAAATTGCTGGGCATATTGAGATCAATCATCCGGAATTCTCAGGACATGCATAAAGTAGGGGGGTTGTGTGTTTTTTTTTAAAATACGGCTTAATGCATACATCTCAGATCCTAAAAACAAACGAAAACAAGGTTTATGAAGCACGGGAATGAAAAATGATCTGTCATGGCATCATGATAAAGCTGTGTATGTGATGGCTGCTTGACATTACATAAGAACATAAGAGAAGCCAATGTTGGATCAGGCCCATCCAGTCCAACACTCTGTCACACAGTGGCCAAAAATACCAGGTGCCAGCAGGAGGTCCAGCAGTGGGGCCAGGACACTAGAAGCCATCCCACTGTTGCCCCTCCCAAGCACTAAGAATACAGTGCATCGCTTGCTCCAGACTGAGAGTTCCTATCTATGCCTTGTGGCTAATAGCCACTGATGGACCTCTGTTTCATATGTTTATGTAATTCCCTCTTGAAGTCATCCATACTTGTAGCTGCCACCACCTCCTGTGGCAGTGAGTTCCATGTGTTAATCATTCTTTGGATGAAGTACTTCCTTTTATCTGTTCTAACCGGACTGCTCAGCAGTTTCGTTGAGTGCCCACGAGTTCTTGTATTGTGAGAAAGGTAGAAAAGGACTTCTTTCTCTACCTGCTCTATCCCATGCATAATCTTATAAACCCCGATCATGTCACCCCTCAGCCGTCGTTTCTCCAAGCTAAAGAGCCCCAAGCGTTTTAACCTTTCTTCATAGGGAAATTGTTCCAACCTTTTTATCATTCTAGTTGCCCTTTTCTGCACTTTTTCCAATGCTATAATATCCTTTTTGAGATGTGGTGACTAGAACTGTACACAGTACTCCAAATGAGGTCGCACCATCGATTTATACAGGGGCATTATGATACTGGCTGGTTTGTTTTCAATTCCCTAATAATTGTGAGCATAGCGTTGGCCTTCTTTATTGCAGTCGCACACTGTCTAGACATTATCATTGTGTTATCTACTATGCCTCCAAGATCTCTCTCTTGGTCAGGTTTGTGCCTGTCATTATGCCATGTTACTCCAGCAAAACTTTGCTCCTTGCTAAACTTAGTCCAGTAGCCTGAATTTCCGTGACTAGTCTGATCTCATCGGTCCTCAGAAGCTAAGGAGGGTCAGCCATGGTTAGTACTTGGAAGACTGGGGTTGTAAGACAGAGGCAAACCACCTCTGTTCCTCTCTTGCGTTGAAGACCCCATGGTACTGGGTCGCCATGATTCAGTTGCGACTTGATGGCACACAATAATAGTTGTTCAGGTGGGTAGCTGTGTTGGTCTGCAGAGTAGAACAAAGTTTGAGTCCAGTGGCACCTTTAAGACCAACAAAGTTTTATTCAAAGTGTAAGCTTCCGTGTGCAAAGCACACTTCTTCAGACAAACAGTAGTTGTTGTTACTGTTATTATTCTTAAACTTAGTCCTCAGTAGCCTCTGAGCCGGGATTTTTTCTGTATTTGTTTCTGAATGTGAACATGATAAATGACCAATGTTTAAAATTGGGTGATCATAATTAGGTGATTTACAGCCTGCTGAAAGTTGCATTCTTCATTAAAATACCCATTCAACTGTTGCAGAGGATTTTGAGCTTGCATCATCAGGTCGAAATTTACCTTTTCTCCCAGGCATTCTGCTGATTGGTGGGTTTGTTTTGCTTTTTTCCCTTTTGCTATGTGACTCCTATTAATGGTGCCACCATTACTGAGATTAATGAGATACCTATTTTTATTAATTAATTTATTTTTGTTTTATTTAAAAAAATTGTTTTATTTTTTGTTTTATTAAATTTATACCCCACCACTCCCTCAACAAATGATGCTTGGATGGCTTACAACAAAGTAAAATACAATTCTGCATAAAAGCAGTAAGAATAATAAATATATAACACAATTGTTGCTGTTTTATCATAAATTTGACACACATAGATTTCCTGTATTTGTTAAATGTTTAAATTAACATTTGTAGCTCGTTTAGTTTTATCAGTCAATTCTGTCTTTATCATAAACTTTCCCAGAATAAAATTGGCTCAGAGCATATATGCTTAAAATAAACACAAAGTTTATTTATTTTTAATGGAAACCCTCTTCTTTTGTCCTGTAGAACAACAGCTATTTTGGCAAAGATGCACAACAGAGACTTACAAATTTGCTTCAACTAGCAAACCCACTAGCTGCAGCATTTAATTTGCCCAAAGAATGTGGTTTGAATCCTTTTCCTTCCTCCTGGAAATCTAGTGCAAGAAATACACATTCAGTAAGTTTATTAAATGTCTTGACATGATAAATGCCTCTAGGGTAGCTATAACAAAACCCTTTAAATAAGCGTACTCTTGAGAGAATAATATTTATTGCTGTTTACTGGGTAGAAACGTCTGAGGAAATTTAAACCTAAAGTCTTTTTTCACTGTCAATTAGATTGCAACTCCTACCAATGAACTAAGACATCAGGGCCCGTTGACAGTTGGAAAGCAGAATTCAACACCATCAGTTTCGCTAGGCTCGGGAAAAATGATCCAAGAGCTGCAAGAAACGTCTAAGAACCTTAAGAAGAGGAAAGCAATGGACCTGCTCAGTCAAGTGCCTTCCCCTCCTCCAGTGAAGCCAATCAGCACATTTGTTTCTCCATCTCTGAAAAAAGCATTTCAACCACCTCGAAATTGTGATACCCAGCATGCAAGATCATTAGAATGGACAGCTTGTAAACCTGTAAAAAAACCTTCCTTGAACAGATTAAATGAGGCTTGCTTTCCTCTTGAAAACAATTTTGTTGCTGATGAAGAACTTGCCATGATAAATACGCAAGCCCTTTTAAATAACTTTCCAAAAGAGAGAAGAGTTGACTTTACAGATAAAATTACTTATGCGGTACTTAGTGATTCACCAGATGGCTGTTTACCAAGAGAGACTTCTTCCCAGTCAGCTGGTAGAAAAGATACATTGCAAGAGAGTAATAAAGGAACTGAGACTCCCGGAAGGGGCGCAAGTGTAACTAAGAGTTCATTGGCTGTGCAGCAAAGACAACGAAGATGGAAATAGTAATAAAAGCCTGTACATTTATTGTATATTTTAATATTTAAAGAACACTTTGAATATTGGTTTCACTGTTTGCCTTATTGTACATATTTCAGTTCCGTTCAAAATAAAGATTAGTTAAATGATTTGTCCTCTGCAAAATGGAATACTAAGAGAGCCTGACAAGACTGGTGGTAAATTTTACAAGTTCCTGAAATGCAGTGGTGATACATGTTGAACTAAGTACCAGCAGGGATACTTGCAGGGAGCAGGGCATCTCAGTTCTCCTTCTCCACTACTTTCTTTTCTTTGAAAGCGCCCATAGCTTTCCCCATTTTCCTGCTTCCCACCAACGAGCCAACCTAACTTTGTCTGCCTATCTTCGTTTTTCTCACCTTTACTCCCCAGCAGCCTCTATCTGGACAGTTATGACTGAGTTGTACAATGCCAGCCTTCAGGCCAGGCCCAGTTGCAAGGTGGGGAACCCACAAGGAC